ACAGGATGCCCACAAAGATAATGTAAGAAATGTCAGAAACAGCATGTATCCATTATCATCTATAATTATATGTCTTCTCCCTTCTGTTCCCATGTTAAATTCTAAGATTATAAGCATAACATAATTTGAGGCAGATTTCCTGATGGTAGCTGCTTGAATTTGCATGGCACAGCGCAAGATATGATAAACATAGAAAATAAATGTATTTTCTCACCCCTCTAGGTGGTATGTTTATTCCTGATCCTCTACCAGAGGCCTGGGAGTGTGAGGATTCTGTGCAGTATCCCAGCTGTTCCTAGAACTGCACTCTCGGATGTCCCACTGAAAAAATCTGTTAAAGCCACTTTGCCAACTTGGGGGTCACATCCCTAAGCGCTCCTATCATAACTGGAACTACTACTGTTTTCACTTTCCACATCCTTTCTAGCTCTTCCTTCAGTCCTTGCTATTGGTCCACCTTCTCATATTCCTTCTTCTCAATGTTATGGTTAATGGGTATTGCCTCATCCAACACCAATGCAGTCTTCTGTAGGAGTAGCACACTGCGATCACTTAGCGATACCTCGGCTACTATATCTTGAGTTTTAGGAATACTCTGTAAGCCAGAGATAGCTCTATATATTTATGTGTCAGTTCCTTACCTCAAATTTCCTTTTAATCATTCTAAGGATAAAATAGAATTATTGATTCGGAGTTTACAGTAATGAGAACCAAATACAAACTAAATACAAACTAAAACAGTCCGTTGACTGTAATAGTTTCATTCCTGCATCCAGGTACCATAAAAAAATCTGGCTCAATTATGTCCTATTAGTCAGTTTAGACAACTTAGTAGGAACTGCTGAAAGTTATCAGAATTGCTTGATCCAAATTAAAGATATGAAATCTCAATTTCAAGATAAAGGATATAAGAACCACCTGTTGGATGAAGCTATGAATAAGGCACTGGAATTGCCAAGAGATCAAATTTTAGCAATAAGGAAGAATTGAATTTTTTTTAAAAAAATGCTAATACCCCTGCTTCTATTATGAAATTTAGCTCAAAATCAGGAATTATTAATATTATAAAAACATAATGGAAAATAGTTCATAGAGAGACCCCACGCACAATTAAATTTTAAGTGATAAGCCTAAAATTATACACTCAGGAGTTCCAAGTCTTAAATGTTTTTGGTTATCTTTTGAGCTTGGTGAAAATCCCTTTTTTTGTTTTTACATTGATTGTTTTAGATGTTATGTTGTTTTTTCTTGATCTTTTATTCAACATAATCAAAATATTGATTATTATTGATATCATGTTTTTTTAAATAATTCATATAAATCATATAAGGCTTTTATCTCCTCTTAAAGGATTTTTTAGATAATTTAGGTGTGTTACTCCAACTTGTTTTTAACTTGTTTTTGAGTTTTTTTGTTGTTGTTGTTGTTAATAATTTAGGCTATAATCCCCCATTGATTAGTGAGGATCGGAACACATCCGAGAGAGAGGAGAGCACATGAGACACATGGGGGGGTGAGGAGGGGATGGTGGTGGGGGGGAAGGGAATGAGACACGTGGGGAGCAGGGGAAGGGGCAAAAGAGACAGAGGCTTTAACTAAACACATCAAATTTTATGAGATTTCTAGGAGAATCTATTGGAGATTTAGTCAACTAAAACTAGACTAAAACTAAAACAATTCAGATGACTAAAATGAGACTAAAACTAAAATGGCTTCTTAGTTAAAAGACTATGACTAAAACTGAATTGAAATTTGCTGCCAAAATTAACACTGGATGGAACAGATTGACCACAATATTACATACAGTGTATTTTGTCTCTAACCACATATTATTTGCAAATTACACAGTGAGGGCAACACTTTATTTGTTCTGTTTCCAATCTTGTACCATAGATATATAAATTACTCTTATTTTATTTTGGACTCTAGTGGGTTGTTTTTATTTTCCTTATTTGATTATTCTACTTCATTATTTGTTTTTTAGCTCTGGACTCCCCAGATGGTGTTTCCTACTACTGATTTCTTTTGACTTTTGGTAGACATACCCTTAATTGTATTCTACATGATCTTCTCAACTAGCCTTTGTGGAATCTGCCACCTGGACTAGGCAAGTCCAGTCCATATTCCATGCAGATATTTTGGTATACAGCCCCAACAGTGTATGTGGCCCCTATTAACATCTAGCACCTGGCTATTATATGCTGCGTTGTCTCTGCAGCCTCTTTGCACAGTCTGCACCTTGGGTACTGTCTGGTGTGGTAGACCCCTGCTTCTATTGATCTACTGCTAAGTGCCTGTTCATGTACTGTTAGTATTAGTGCCTCTATGCTGTCTTTCAGTCCTGCTTTTTCCAACCACTGGCAGGATTTCATAATGTGAGCCACATCCACTATCTGAGAGGTTTGTTTTTGAGTTGGAATTTCAGTATCTCACACTTTGGAGGTACTTGGATGTTGCTGTCCTCCTTGCCTCTTCCTCATGTTTTGGTGATATACCCAGCTAATTGTAGCTATATTCTATGTCTCCTATTTGACCTTCTGGTATTTAAACTCCTTCTGTCCTGATCATCTTCCATCTTTCTGTTATCATCCGTTCACTAATGACTTACTGATGTTCTTGCTGCAAATCCTAGTTGGGTGGATCAGTGAGTCAATGTCCCACTCACTCTTGGCATACAGCATGGTGGCGTCAATGTAGAGCAGGTGGTTGATGGTAGCTCCACTCTTGATCCTGTATCCGTATCCACCCTTTATGGTGATCTGGCTATGGGTGTTGAGGCCTATCAGAACAGCATTGGGGATAGCGCATCACCTTTTTATATGCCAATTTTTTGATGTTCACTTGAGTTATTGTCCTGGAATTGGCTTCTATAGTTGTTTTCCACTTGCCCATCAAGTTCTTGATGAAGGCTCTTAGTATCGAGCCAAGCATTCCAGTGTCGATGGTGTGAAGGAAGTATAACCCCACCTGTAGAAAAATAGAATCTTAAAATAATAATTCTACATGATACTTATTCATATGTATGTATTGCCTTGTATTATGTACATACATATGTCCTTTTGTGTCACATAAAAATACTTTCCTGGCTTTTCTTAAAAACAGATTTATTCTTTTTGTTTCGTAAACACAAATTCAGTTCTAACAATGCCATTGATGTTAAAATGGTCAACAGCTGATGGTACTTACTGGAAATACAGAGTGCAGAGACACTTTGTATCTCAGTGTCTCAGTGTCTTACACATATAAGACATTCTGTACGTACACCACCAAAGTTACTTTGCAAGCATTAAAAAGTCAATGCTATGGACACAACATGCTTGTTGGCAATTTTAATAACCGTAGTAGGCCATCCCATGTTCAAAGGACACTTAGATATAGAAAAGAACTTGTAACATGTATTATCACGTTTCCCAATTGTTCAATGACTAGGTTTCGGTTACTGAACGCTTCACTGGGTTTGTTCTATCTCCTTTGCTGAGTTTGTGGTTTGCTTTCTAAGCAGGAGGCAATCACTATGCAGTGCTCTGTCATCAAACTATTTTCTAAAGTCCAACTTTTACCACAAAGCGCAGCAAAATATCAGAAGCCGCAACACATAGTAATTAGCATACGTAGAATAGACTTGCATGCAGAAAATGTGGAAATGTAGAAATCTGCGTTTCTTGGTATTTAGGTTCAATTATTCATTTAGAAGTCATCCTACAATATGCATACACAGATTAGATTTTTTTTTTCTTTATATTTAACCATATACAGAGGTGGGAACACAATCACCACTATTAATTGTGCTGATAATTAAATGCCCTTGATTAATTTATTAAATATAGTTATTATTCCCTGAGGCCTGGAAGGGGGACAGTGCTTCCATGCCCTGGTGGTCCCAGTGGTGAGAATGTACTCTAGCCTGCAGTTCAGGCTAGAGTTCACTCTTGCGAGAAAGGAGCATTGCCATGGTAACCGCAGCAACGCCCGAAGCTCACGATAGGGGAACCCGGCGGAAGTGCAGGTAAGAGCTCCCCCGGGTTCCCTCTACCTTCTCTGCTGGCTGCCAGCAAAGTGCATGTGGGCTGGGGAGGGAGATCACTGATCTACCCTCCGGTCCGTGAAGGCAAACAGCAGCGCTTGGATAGCAGGGGAGACATTTGGCCAGCACTATTTTCTCTGGGGGGGGAGGGCAGGGGGAGGATCTACCCCCTCTTGGATCCTCCACTGCAAGCACGGTGATGGAAGGGGTGATAATTTGGGCTTGTTTTGCAGCCTCAGAATCTGGAAACCTTGCAGTCAATAAGTTGACCGTTAACTTTTCTGTATACCAAAATATTTTAGAGTCAAATGGGAGGAAATCGGGTCATGAAACAGGACAATGATCCCAAGCACACCAGCAAATCTACACTAGAATGGCTGAAAAAGGAAAAGAATCAAAGTGTTGCAATGGCCCAGTTAATGTCCAGACCTCAACCAGTTGAAATGCTGTTGTGGGAAAGTTAATAAAGACATACAGAAAATGATTACCTCCAGCTATTGCTGCCAAAGGTGGTTCTACAAGCTATTGAACCATAAGGTGTGGAGGTCCCAAGCACCGGCTTACTTTTAGGGAATAAACAGTTCACGAACAGGTCCGGTATCCAGTGCCATTTAGCTCTTCCCCCTTGTCCTTCTTCTGCTTAAATTCCTGAAAGAGGAAGCGTCCCACAGTCAATCAGTAGCTCCCTATTCATAAAAATAGCTTGAGAAAAAAATAAAATACGTTTCTCAAGCCGTTTTGTGAATGGGGAGCTACTAAGCATTGCCCATGTCCGAGACTTCCTATTTCAAGAATCTGATTAGAGGAAGGATGGGGGTAGAGCTAAACAGTGCTAGTTGAAGTTGTTAAGGTGCCTGGAGTGTTATTTTAAGGGTGCAGAGCTACGTATACTGAAAGTCTGAATTTACCTGATCCCCATACACGATATAAAACATTAAGTTACTCTTGTTGTAAGTAAAGTGCATTTGTTATTTAAATGAACAATTCACATAAGAGAAATGAACTTCAAATGTTATAGAGATATGTATCGGACATAGCACAAATTCCCATTTTCATTCATTGTATACATTGACACTATATCTTGCTAAGGCCTATCACAGGGTACAGTACGCATACTCAGGGTGAACCTTTTTTATCGGCAACGTATGGTTACAATGGTGACAACTTACACAGCTTGAGTTTCTAATGGATATTATTTGTTGTCAGACGGTCAAAAAATAGCGACAAGGTTGGTAACTAGTCTGTAATTAGTAGCCGCTACCACCTGCTGTTGTTAATAATGATAGCTATATATATATAAAGGGTGGGCCAAAATTCAGAGCAGGATTTGACAGGTAATTAACTTATTTGCTAGTTGTTAAATTGTTTTGGTAGCAGGTACATAAATGGAGATACATCATGGGTAATTTCACAGAGGAAAAATGTATTAAACAGAGAAAACAAGGAATTTAATCATCAACTCAGCATGTCTGACAAAGTTCATTTTCATTTAAATGGCTTTGTCAATAAGCAAAACTGTCTTTTCTGGGGTACAGAAAACCCACAAATAGTTCATTAGCGCCAAATACACCGTATCAAATGCACTATCACAGACCTTCCAGGAAGCAGAAGTTTGAACTCTAGAGCATCACACATTAACTAATGTTATGAACAATGTAATCGAAAAAGCCAGACTTTGGGAGGTGGCAAATGGAGCTCATTTAAAGGACCACTATAGTTCCAGGAAAACATACTTGTTTTCCTGGCACTATGGTGCCCTGAGGGTGCCCCCACCCTCAGGGTCCCCCTCCCGCCCGGCTCTGGAAAGCGGTTAAAACTTACCTTTTTCCAGCACTGGGCGGAGAGCTCTCCTCCTCCGATCCTCCTCTTCTCCTCCCCGTCGGCTGAATGCGCACGTGCGGCAAGAGCTGCGCGCGCATTCAGCTGGTCACATAGGAAAGCATTTATAATGCTTTCCTATGGACGCTGGCGTGCTCTCACTGTGAAAATCACAGTGAGAAGCACGCAAGCACCTCTAGCGGCTGTCAATGAGACAGCCGCTAGAGAGAATGGGGGAAGGCTTAACCCGTTCATAAACATAGCAGTTTCTCTGAAACTGCTATGTTTATAAAAAAATGGGTTAACCCTAGCTGGACCTGGCACCCAGACCACTTCATTAAGCTGAAGTGGTCTGGGTGCTTAGAGTGGTCCTTTAAGAGATGTCTTCTTCCAAAGCAAGTCAAACAATTGTATGCAATATCTTTGAAATGGGTTCATTATTAAAAATGTTTTTGACTCCTCAAAGCCTAACACACAGACATGCTTTGAATTTATGATATTATTACACAATTAATGTCTACAAATAAAGCTCCTTCTTTCAAACTGCATGGTTTAATTCTGTATTTTCCTGTGACTATAGTAAGAATATTAATCATCTCCTTCCCAGTAATTCCCTATTTATACATGGTTTTATTTTTTACTGTAAGTTTCTGGATTCTGGGCAGGAAGCTAAAGATGGATGGTAATAATTACTTTGTGTCACGTTTGTTCTTTAGATAGACACTAATTAGCAGGAATAATAAATATTCTATATTTAGGGTGAAAACCAAAAAATAGCCTGAATCGTGGGACTCAAGGAAATGTCTTTGTTTCCCACAAACAATATCTCTGGCCGTGCATGATGTATGTACATGCATTGTATTTCGTACTTCCACTAACCATTTATTAGGAAAAGAGAGAATGTAAACACATTGTAAAACAATCTCCTTCTGTCAAGTCCTGGACTATATACAGCGTATTTACTAAAGTGAGAATGGTTGGGAATTCAAAGTGAATTACAAGGGAATTTCAAATTTAAGGCCAAAATAGCTGTACATTGGCTACTTTAACCTTAAATTTGAAATTGACTTTGATTTCCCAACCCTCCTCACTTTAGTAAATAACTCTGATTATTCTGTGGCATTCTGGGATAATGTTAGGGCCCCTGGAAGGTGTGAGAGGAAGGTTAGGCAGAATGACTGAACTCTGTGATCTCAACTGGTAAACGGTAGCGTGGACTTATAGAGATGTAGCCATGAGAAAAATTGGTAAGACTTGTAAAGGTCGTGGAGTAATCACCTTGGAAATTGATGCCAAAATATTGCTTGTTCCATTGGTTTCATGGTAAATACCCCCACTGTTCTGTTAGTGACACTTATATACAGTTCTTATCTGTGAATCTTCCTCAGTTTTTCCAAAAACGTAAACAATTAAACACTCACAAAGTTCTTTAACCCCTTAAGGACCGCGGACGGTTCAGAACCGGCATCGGCATTTTCCCATTGCCGACCGGTGACGGTCCTGAACCGTCCTAACGGTCTTAGTTACTTACCTGATTGCCGTCGTTCCCCCGGTGGCGATCAGCGTGGCTTTCGGTGTGGGGAGACTGCCTGCAGCCCAGACAGTCTCCCCATGGCTGATTAGGAACCCAGGGGCCATGTGATCGCTCAACACAGCAATCACATGGTCACAATAGGTGTCCATGTGTCTGCCTGCAGGGGGACTGTCTGTGCTGACAAGCAGTCTCCCTGCATGTGTTAAATCAATAAAAAAAATAAAGTTAATGTTAATAAAAAAAAAAAATTATATATGTCTATATATCATATATATAATGTCATACTAAATGTATTTTTATATTAATATGTACATATATTAATATAAAAATACACTTATAATTAAATTACACACGTGTATATATATAATATATATAATAACTTTTTTTTTTTTTTTGAGACTCGGTTTGGAATGGGTGGGGGACTTTTGGAACAGGGATGTCCCTTAAAATAATTACTTGGAATGTCCAGGGTATGAATTCACCCCAAAAAAGGGGAGCTGTATATAAATTTTTAATTGAAAATTCAATTGATGTAGCTTTTATTCAGGAGACTCATTGGATTGAAACTCCTGATAGACTATGGAAGTATAAAAAATTCCCTATAGTTTACGCGGCAAACTTAGAAGGTAAAAAGAAAAAAAGGGGAACGGCTATTATTATTTCAAATCGGCTTAGTTTTGAAGCTATTCACTCAATAACGGATAAAAATGGTAGATATCAGGTTTTAATTATAAAAATCAATGGTCTCACATTTACCTTTGTAAATATATACGGCCCGAATCACAATCCATTAGCTCTCTTAGATCAAATTATGGATATTGTAGATGAAGTTGCCTGTGGTAGTATTATAATAGGAGGAGATTTTAATAGCGTTGTTGATCTAACTAAAGATAGAAGTCATAAATATTCTGTGAATGGTAGCATTTGTAATATAGGATCATCTGGCTTATCTGATTTCCTAGTTAAAAATTCCATGTTCGACTGCTGGCGAACTATGAATCCTCAGGAAAGAGATTACACATTTTTTTCGCATGTACACCAAACCTATTCTCGTATTGATATGTTTATAGTGAAAGAGAGTGTTCTAAACAATATTATAAAATCTACAATTGGTTCTATAGAGATTTCGGATCATGCTCCAGTTTCCTTGAGAATTAAGATAAAAGAAGGTAGTATTCCAAGGACTAAATGGAGGCTTAATGAAAGCCTTTTGAAACTTGAATATGTTAAGGACCAAATAAAAATAGAATTAGAAAACTTCTTAAAAACTAATTATAATGGAGAAGTTGCAACACCAACTGTATGGTGTACTTTAAAAAGCTATATAAGAGGACTACTAATAAAGTTCGGTTCTGAAAATAAATGGAAGAAAGGTGAATCATTACATGTCCTGAGGATTAAATTAGCGAAATTGGAACGGCTAAATAAAATATTAATAACTAAGGAACTAACAAATGAAATTAATAATATAAAGCTAGTTATCAAGGATAAAATATATGAAGAGATTGGTAAAAATCTATCCTTCCTTAAACAAAGATGGTATCATAACAATAATAAAATTAACAGGGATCTCTCTAACAAAATTAAGAACCAACATAAAGATAAATCTATAAAAAAATTGATGACAAAAGGAGGAAAGGTTGTAAATTTACCTAAAGATATAGCAGAGGCTTTTGCAACATTCTATAGCTCACTATATAACTTAGAGGAGGTTAAGGTAAGCAATGAAGAAATTGATAGATTTCTCAAGGATCTTGGACTTCCTAGGTTAAGCTTAGAGAAACTAGAATATATAAATGCTCCCTTTAGAGAATTGGAAATTGAAGAAGCGATAGAGAAATTAAAACCAAATAAGGCCCCAGGCCCAGACGGATTCTCTGCTATCTTTTATAAAACATATATGAAAACAATTACTCCAATCCTCTTAGAGATGTTTTCGTCAATATCTAGCGATGTTTCATTCCCAAAAGAGATGATGTTAGCAACAATTATTCCGATTCCTAAGCCAGATAAGGATAATTCAATAATTGCTAACTATAGACCAATATCACTTATAAATGTTGATATTAAAATATTCTCGGCTATATTGGCTAATCGTTTAAAAGAAGTACTGGGAGATTTGATTAATTGGGATCAATCGGGATTTGTGAAAGGAAGAAGTACCTCTGACAATACAAGGAGGATTTTTAACATAATAAATAGAGTGAGCGGTCAACAAAGGGAAGCTGTTATTATTGCTTTAGATGCCGAGAAGGCCTTTGACAGAGTCAATTGGAGATTCCTGGACTCTGTCATGGGCCATTTCGGATTGGAGGGAGCATTTAGAAATAAAACTTTATCTTTATATAGAAATTCCTCGGCAAGAATTAGCAGCCCATATTTTATCTCTGATCCATTTGATATTAGGAATGGAACTAGGCAGGGCTGTCCGCTAGCTCCACTCCTGTATATCCTTACAATCGAACCGCTGGCTATGATGATAAGACAGAATGAAAAGATAAAAGGAATAGATTTTCAAGAGGAACATATTAAAATATCTTTGTTTGCAGATGATGTCTTACTTACTCTTGTTGACCCTTTACTATCAATCCCATCGCTGCTAGAAGATATCTCTACATATAGCAAACTTTCTAATTATAAGGTTAATATTAATAAATCTCAAGTGCTTCCATATTTATTGTCCAAGATACAGCTAGAAATTTTGTATTCTTATTTTCATACAGAATGTGTAAAAGATAAAATTGAATATCTAGGTATAAAGATAACATTTAATATTATAAAGACAATTCGGATAAATTTTAACAATCTATATAAAGATCTACAATCCCAGATACATAAATTGAAGAGACTAGAACCATCTTGGATAGGAAGAGTTAATATTATCAAATCGTACTTA